TCCCACATCGGGCTCTCTGCTCAGCAGGGATCCTGCTTCCCTCTCTCTCTGCCTGCCTCTCTGTCTACTTGTGATCTCTCTCTCTGTCAAATAAATAAATAAAAATCTTTAAAAAAAAATAAATAAAACCTGAAAGTCTTTTCATTGACAACCAACAAGGAAACAGGGATGTCCATCCCACAACCTCAAGGAACTAACTTCTGCCAACGCTCTCTGATTAAAAAGTTCCCCCCTAGGCGCCTGGGTGGCTCAGTGGGTTAAGCCGCTGCCTTCGGCTCAGGTCATGATCTCAGAGTCCTGGGATCGAGCCCCGCATCGGGCTCTCTGCTCTCTAGGGGAGCCTGCTTCCTCCTCTCTCTCTCTGCCTGCCTCTCTGCCTGCTTGTGATCTCTCTGTCAAATAAATAAATAAAATCTTTAAAAAAAAAAAAAAAAAGTTCCCCCCTAGAACGTATAGAAAACAATGCAGCTCCGTCAACAACTTGGCTATAGCCAAGTGAGACCCATGGCAGATTTCTGACCTCCAGAATTCTAAGATAATATATGGGTGTTGTATAAACCAGTGAATTTGTTGTAATTTCTTGCGTGACAATGGGGAACCACCACAATGCTACTGCTCTGCCACTTGGATTTGATACTCTAATAAAGGCTGAAACCAGTTGCATTCAATTTTCATACAACACTTGGTTAGGGCTGTTATCAACAGAATTCCAATCAGCAGGATGAGGCCAACTAGCACCACTGACCTCAGCATGCCCCTCAGATCTCATCCTCAGTGTTAGGTCTATTTCAGATAACTGTTTAACCTTCTTTTCTTTTCTTATGGCATGTTACACTCCAATAGTAGGATTAATCCAGACACGGTGAGAAGTGTTGACAACCCTACCTGTCCTCCTTGTGCAGCTAGGATGTAGCTTATGGGTTTTTCATTTTAACCCATAGAAGGGTAACTGATCTAGGGTTTGTGCTATCGCACTGTGGATATAGGCTACTCCAGTTTGGGATTTGCTGTTGAACTTGCTTTGGATTAGTATTACATTGGTTTGTTTAAGCC